ATTTGCAAAAGAAAATAACTTGTAAGTGGGAAAGAAAGATCACAGCGGGATAAGAGAGAGTGTTATTTTCCTTAAGAGAGACGCAGGATTAATGAATAGGCATTTACTTAATGCTGATGTAACTCAGTGACTGAGCAAAAGAGAAACAGCTTCAGCTAAAAGCCCCTTACATTTTATCACTTCTGGTATTGGATTTTAATTACAGTGAAAATACAACAGCTTTGCCACATGGCAGGAATCAATAAACTACATCAGAAACTACTTTCAGATCAAGTGCAAATGTGTTCGCAGTTCAAATGGAACACATTTAGACCTAACAAACATGGCATTTGACAAGCAAACAGGAATAGTGCCAAAGGTTGGGAGTCCAGCGAGTTATTAAAGGGCATCTATTAAAGCACTAATAGGAAGGAAAAGTTAATATATAGGTACATCACTCATGCCTGTCTCTTGTTAAGAGAACACTATAGTGTCAGGAACACAAATATGCACTCCTGACACTATAGCGCTGATGTGTACTCCTGAAACCATAGGGCTTTTAGGACCCGCCTCTCCCCCCCCCCCACCCTCCCCCCCCTGAGTTAGAGCAGTGAAATGTAAGTTTACCTTTTCTCCCATGCAGCGCCGGTCTCATTGTGCCTGGCCCCACCTTGCTCTGCCTCCGTGGCTAAGATTATCAATCTTGATGATCTCAGCCAATCCAATGCTTTCCTATAGGAAAGCCTTGGGAGGCTGTGGCACATGCGTTGCAAAACAGCATCTCCTTATAGAGATACATTGAATGCATCTGCATGCATATTATTTAGTGTCTGACTAACACTAGGGGGGATATAGGCAGCAATGCAAATGTTGAAAAGCCTATAGGGACAGGCTATAAACACAAGAACCATTACATTAAACTGTAGTGGTTCTGGTGACTATAGTGTCTCTTTAAGCTTCTATTATCTCCATATAAAATAAACGGATAACTCCACTTGCTATTATAAACTCTTTGGTATAAACCCACTATGCACTCAATTTTTCACAAAGAGATATTATTTATGTCTTGGTAAAAATATTATCTAGGGCATTACTCTATTCACTTAGTAATACTATGATAGCCATGTACTAAATATTGTCAGCGGGTGGCATGGTCTAGCATGGTCATGCGATGAAAGATCATGTTCCATGTTATGTAAGAAAGAAGGAATGCTGATAAGAGCACACCACCAAAGACTACGTGGAGGACTATTAATTTAAAGTGTCTACCAGTTAATAAGAGCATTGAACAAACGGCTGCCTGAAATGTATGGTTTCACTGAAGCACCAATACTACTCTCACGGCAATCCCAAAGAATTAAAAAAGGGGGAAACAAATAAAAGTGTGTTGATGCAGTAGGATAAAAAAGGTTGCCAACCTACTGGATAAGGGAAAATACTTTGGTGACTTGGCCAAGGTCCCGTGGATTATGATGAACATCATTTTGAATATTGGAGCTATTGAAGTATTAAAATGAGAACAAGAATCTGGTATTTTCAGAGAGAATAAAGTGGACAGAACTCTAGTATATTGAACTGGATGAAGCTTAATTTTTGTTTTATTGAGTAAAGTGGCCGTTTCTAACTCATTTGAGGAAAGGGAATAACGATGGAAATATATATGAATAAAGAAGAAATAAAACAGGTGCAAAACTATTTTGTTATTCATTAGATGCAAAGTGCTGGTAATGTGTTTTGTTGTGGAATATTGCCCTGTACACAAATGCACCTGCTTGATTCTGCCCTTGGCATGAACTTTATAGTCAATTAATACAGTTTAATATACATCAGCTTTGTGTTCCAGCTATAACAAAATATGGATGCACTCAGATTTGAAAGGCAATTAAATGACTTCTCAACATGGATAATAATGTACCAGAAATGACCAAGAAGAGATATCATTAAAAAAAATAAAAAATAAAAAATTATCTGAACATACTAAACCTGCATGAAAATACATATTTGAGCAGTTTTACAAATATACATATTTACAAAAAAACATTAAAACAGAAATGAGTTTAGATGTGCTTTCACAATGTCTATGGCATAATGTGTTTTATAGCAGGCAGGCGTGACTTTACTATTAAAGGGGCTTTGCATGAGGGCAACTCTGATAGGGGCCGGCCAGAGGGCTGCCAGTCAGTCTTACATGTATTCACACCAAGCTGACATAACCCTTGTTTGCTGGGACCAGCAACACCAGTGATGTTCAGTCCATCACATCCCTCCATCTCCTCTCTTTCCCAGTTTCATACATCCTGATGTTGACATGGCATGTATTGTCCGATGTCGATGGAATCTAGATTTATTGGCTGGTGGTGATAAGTCACGCCTGGGTACCATCTGTCAGAATTCATGCATGGGACATTTGTTACATTTCACTTATGGATTAAGCCATGGATGTGGAACTTGTGTCATTCGATGCCCAGGACATGCAGTTCCGGGTGCCAGGCAGGCAGTTTTGGGCGTTTAGCCTTGCCATGGGGTACTGTGATGTAGTGGTGGGTTTATACACAATATGGTCATATGATGTAACTGAATCCCCATATTAGTTTGCTAAGATAAGCGATATTAAGTAGCCTTGTAAATCTGTATTTTGTATATATTTTTGGTCTTCACAGCAGCCTCACTACCTAGAAATGCATGTTCTTGGTGTGGCCCAAATTTCCCTTATTTCTCTGTAGATTTGGAATCCAGACCAGATTCTTATTGGGCTGAGCACCCATCCACTATTGGTGCCCCGTTATAGGTGACAACGGGAAAGCAAAAATTGAAGAGAGTATCTGGAAGCAGAAAGTCATGCATTTAAAATTTGTGTAATACCCACAGATATTGGTACTAAGACAATGTAGTGGGCTTAACACAATATGGCCATATGGTATAACTGAATCCCCATATATGTCTTCTAAGAAAGGTGATTTTAACTGTATTTTTAGTGTGCGCTGTTCCCAAATCTGTATTTTGTATATATTTTCTTACCTACAGCAGCACCACCACTTAGAAATGCATATTTCAGGTGTGCCCCCAATTTCCCTTTTTTCAAAAGAGTGCAGGGCTGCTATTGAGAGGACAGTGTTTGGGCCATGGCGTATGATCACTATACTTTAGCACTTGCAGACCTCAGTAGTTGCTAAATCCGCGGTTTTAGTACGCTCAACTGAGTCAGATCACATTGCAGACTCCCAGCATGCATGATCAGTAATTATTCAGGTTGCGTTCTGAGGCATGTGCTTCATATATTGGTGCATGATAAACTTTAGAAAAGATTTAGCCCGGGTGAGAGATGCAGGACATACCACACTACAAACCAGACTCACATACACACAACAGACAGCCAGCACACACCAAACACACACACACACACACAAAGCAGACAGCCATCACACACCGGTCAGCACACACCAGAAACACACACATACAACAAACAGCCAGCACACACCAGACACACACACAACAAACAGTCAGCACACACCAGAAACACACACACACACACACACAACATACAGCCAGCACACACATTACATACAGCCAGCAAACACCACATATATTACATACAGCCAAAACACGCACACACTATGGGAAAGGAAGGAGAGCGAGACACTAAACTAAAACAGTTTTTTAAATATTAAATCCGAATGGAAAAAATAGCCTGTTGTGACTATTGCTGAAGTGGAGTATTTTTATAGATCAGTTTTTTGGCCTCGGTTTTTTCTTTTAGAGTTAATCTTGGAAATTTCAGAGTTTAGTGAATAACACTGCCAATGAATGAATTTAAGTCGGGTCCCCAAATGTTCTAATTTACATTTTGTGTCAGTACAAGTAGATTTTCATGATGGACAAGTAGATTGGGCTACCACCTTAGTCCTTTCGGACAGGTAGATTTTTTTTTTTAAATTTCCACACCGTGATTAAGCACGTGCATATCAATCCATCACTGATAACAGGTCAACTTACATATATTGAGAAATAAAAAAAGACTACTCAACATTGACTGTAGAAACGAGATTTAATGCATTTTACATCGGTAGCAGAGAACAGCAAAGGAAATCCATGTCAACAAATGGCATGGAAGTCAATTACCTATACAAATAAACTGATCATTTAAAGAGATCCCTATAAAAATGTTCACTGTGGGAAATATGGGACAAAATGCCCGTTTAGAATAAAGATTAGAGGAATTTATTTTGTTAGTGAAAGTCCTCTAAAGCTTGAGGCATTGGACAATGAATAGCGCTTCCTCCCAATGTTCCTTCAGTCTTTTATAGTGACATCTCAAGGTTACTGAAAAGCACCTTCAGCATGCAGGTGACGGGTATTTGCGTCATCAGTGGAACAGATACACATATAGAATTCTTTCTGCTCTGGGTTAATTGTGCTAATACACTTAGATCAGTTTATGCCTGCAGCATCTTAGCATTAAGTGTGCAAGTTTTATCCCTACAGACAAACCTATATGTAATATGTTGCACTGGAGGATAGAAATTGCAGGTAGTACATAGGAATATGTACATTATAAATTTGAATGCTTCTTCTATGGTACTTAATACGTGGCATCAAAGATTTATGACTATGGAGCATTTTCTTATTTTTTTAAGAAACCAACAGGGTTATTCACTAATTCACTAATTTTAAAGGAAACATTTGTGAACTATTACAACTTAGTTGGAATTAAATTGTTATGGTGTCAGGGGGTCCTGGGCATTGGCTTATGTTTACTGGTTAGACCGTTTGTCTTTTCTCCAGAGCCATTTAGCTCTTCCCCTATTCTTATGCTGCTCACAGATTCTTTAAACAGGAAGCCTTGGACAGTCGTTGATTTGCTGACAGTGTCAGCTCCCCATCCATAAAAATATACTTGTGAATGCAAAGCTACTGATTGGCTTAGCGAGTCAGCTGACACTCTCAGCCAATCAGAGGCACCTCTGTCCAGAGAATGTGAAGCTACTGATTGGCTTAAAGAGCCAGACGACACTTTTCAGCCAAGTAGAGGCGTCTCTGACCCCTGGCACCATAACAACATCATTCCAATGAAGTTGTTATGGTGCCTGGAGGTTTCCTTTGAAGTAAAAAAGAGAAGAAATTGACAACAAACTGACAGCTAAGCTGTAGCATTTTGGCTATTCTGGCCTCGTATTTGAAATTCACTTTGAATTCTCACTTTCATAAATAGCTATGTTGGGCTTGAGACTGCAGCATTTTTTTGTGAATGGATTCTATTATAAAAAACAGACAGCAATATGACCTCCTTGCCCCAAACACAATATAAGAAATATATATTATACTTGTGCTTGATGTGCCCCTCTAGCATGGCCACTAAAAGTTCTAATGTCTAAAAAGTAATTATTGAAATCATACTTGTTTCTGTCGTACAGTACAGATGTTTAATAGCATTCATTATCAAAATTTCAATTATTCAATTATTCAAAATGTTTTGTTACAAAAGAAAACATTTTGAATAGCAGGTGTGAGAAAAACAATATTGAATTTTTTTGGTACTTTAAAAAAATCTTGTAACACTTCAGAATTGTGTGGTAACTTTATCTTTAAATGGAGTCACACATTTTGATTAATTATGTGTTGCAAACAATATTTTTAAACATCTGACTACTTTATTGCCTCTATACTGTGCCTCCCCCACTTTATAAGATACATGTGAATGAGTTTGTTTATCGCTATCAATCTATTACAGGACACCCAGTATATAAATTGCAGAACTTGCAGTAACGTATACATTCTTGCTTCCACAACGTGAACCTGCAATTCAGTGGATAGCACACATTTCTGTAAAGATCTGGCAGGTACCTTGTCCTATATTTTCTGAAAAAGAATAATCTTGCACTGTTAATGAACATTTTTCTCCTACTATGTATCATATTGGCTTAATTATTATCTGCACTTCTGATCTATATAGCAGTGAAGGCTCTGGATACAAAACCTCTTTATTTGCTCTTTTCCCTTGTTACTTAATTTCATTTGGGATTGCTTTAACAATTTTTTAGAGTTCTTAGATTAATTTGCCATTCATAATATGCATTAATATTGTTTATATTGATGAACAAACATCCAATTTAGCGGTTCATGTAATGTCTTGCCAATTGTTTTCTAGTATCCAAAAATTAATCTAATCAAAAAATAGATCCATCCATTACTTATTATTATTTTATTATTTATAGAGTACCAGCCAATTCCATAGCGCTGTTCTTAGGGCCATATAAAGAAATGAAGTCAGCAGATACTGCTATGTAATGTCTTCCTGGTATCAGAATGCCACGTAACAACAAGAGTGATTGTGAAATAATTATCTCGAGCAGATCTACGACAGCTATGGACTCCAAAAACATCGCCCAGAAATGCCTTTGCTGTATATGAGTAAGGAATGCCATCTGTCTGTAATGTAGGTTGGAAAGCCGAGAATTGCATGGTAATTGGGTAGACACCAATCTTATTGATGTGTGTGGTGACAACAACATTGATTGGCTGAGTGTATTGGGCTTATCCCCCCTGCACTCTCTGTCAATCAATATCATCCACGTTGGGTAAAATTGACACTGATAATGTGAACATTTTAAATTCACAATACCAGTACAATGGTGGAGTGGTTCCTCAATGCTGGGAAGACATATACACCAAACCATTCTTAAACCATTTGATATTAACCTATTTGAAATTATTATTAGTATTATTACTTGTGCTATATGTATATATTAAACAATAGTTTAGCACAGGCAAGAAACATTACAATATACCCAATGCTAGGAATTCAATGATCATATTGGGTCAAAGGCAGGAAAAACATCAATAGGAGTTGCTTATCAAAAAAATAAATTTTAGTTGTCTTCGGGGGAGACCTTGCCCTGTTTTTCCACTGCTGGATTCCCACCTGATATATATGTATATATTAAACAATAGTTTAGCACAGGCAAGAAACATTACAATATACCCAATGCTAGGAATTCAATGATCATATTGGGTCAAAGGCAGGAAAAACATCAATAGGAGTTGCTTATCAAAAAACTAAATTTTAGTTGTCTTCAGGGGAGACCTTGCCCTGTTTTTCCACTGCTGGATTCCCACCTGAAGTGCTAGGGGTAAGTGCATTTTAGGTTTACCCTGGTTGCAGAACCCACATCATTGAGCACTTTAATAGCGTTCACTCGGGTGAGGGAAAGATAACTATTGCTGCCAGAAAACTGACAGTTCAAATATAAATGGAGTACATTTCTAGTTGACAATACCAAGTCTCTTTTAATAATCACATGAGGACACTGTAAATAGTGTGAATGCAAACTGTAGAGCATTAAGTCATGCTGCCCCATTTTTTCAACTAATACAAAGTAAAATGTTTCTCGGTCAGTGATTTATTTTATATCTCTTGTTTTTCTTGTCACAGTCTGATTGCTGAGATTTCACTTTTCAGCACACATTCAAATCTCTTTATTGCAACCACTGGGCAGATTAGCCATCAAAATCAACTTGGCAAAACTGTAGGAGATAGACAAAAACAGCCAATATTGTTTATAAGCATATAGGAGACAGTTATGGAAATCTGGTTTCTGAAATATGCATGAATGTTTTCATAAATTTCAGATTTTTTTCATTATTACATATTGATATATTTCACAAGATCACAGTGTTCCAGTATGATTTCCCAAAAAATGCAATTTACATTTCAATATCTTGATATTGCAAATTCCAAAAACCAAGATGTAAAAATCACTTGAAAATAATTATTTACAACTAACATTGTGTCATTCTGCCTGTTATCTGGACATTAAAGATTAAAGTTAAAAACACCATCTAAAGAGACAACTTGAATAAAGCGTCACAATTTCTATCAAAAAATATAAAATTATCACTGATGAAATGCTGGTTCTACTGATTTAATTAGTAATTGGCCCACTTTTAGTATTTTAGACCATGTTTTAGAAATCAACACTTTTACAAACCTCCCCCAGTGTCTTTATGTACACGCTTCTGTGTGCATATATGTGTGTATTTATGTGTTTAAGTGTTGGTGTAGATGTATATACTTGTCAGCCTGTTTCTCAGTGTGCTTTTTTTTTTACATATGTGTCTGAGTATGTGTAAGTTTGTGTATGTGTCTATAGCACCCTTATGCTGCAAATGAAAATAAATCCATAAGAGAGATAGCAGGACCATTAGGAGTGGCCATATCAACAGTTTGGGACATTCAGAGAAAAAAGGAACAAACTGGTGAACAATGGTGGATGATCGTAGGATCATTGCCATGGTAAAGAAAAACCCCTTCACAACATCCAGTCATGTGTAGAACACTTTCAAGGAGGTAGGCATATCATTATCCAAGTCTACCATAAAGAGAAGACTTCATAAGAATAAATACAGAGGTTTTCCCACAAGGTGCAAACCATTTATAAGCCTCAAGAATAGAAAGGCCAGATAAGATTTTGCCCAAAAAATCTAGAAAACCCAGCCCAGTTCTGGAACAGCATTCTTTGGACAGATGAAACCAAGATCAACCTGTATCAGAATGATGGGAAGAAAAAAGTATGGAGAAGGCTTGGAACGGTTCATGATCCGATGCATACCACATCATCTGTAAAGCACGGTGGAGACAGTGTGATGGTATGGGCATGCATGGCTTCCAATGGCACAGGGTCACTAGTGTTTATCTACGACATGACAGAAGTAGCCGGATGAATTCCGAAGTGTATAGGGATATAGTGTCTGCTTAGATTCAGCCAAATTCAGCGAAGTTGATTGGACGACGCTTCACTTTATAGATGGACAATGAAAGCAACCTAGGATTCTTGACAAAGTATTCAAAATTAACATTTTATTTATGATTGTGTTAATTTCTCTAAGTATAAAAATGTATGCATTCATAAACATAATTATATTTCTGTTCTACTCCTTGAATTAAAGCTGTAAGTCTGCACTTCATTTGCATCTCGGTTGTTTCACTTCAACTCCATTGTGGTTGTGTACAGAGCCACAATTATGAAAATTGTGTCAATGTTCAAATATTCCTGGACTTAACTGTATATCTACATATATCTGGAGGTATCCAGTGGCATACCTACCCACTTTGTGACGGAGAAATTGGAATGTGAGTCGGGCTTGCCTGGAAAGTAGGCAGGACACCCACTGAAGGGATAAGAAAACCTGACATCAAGTATACCAGGCTCACAGACATTTTGGCCGGCCTCCTACATAGGGAAGCATGCCAAGAACACTGCTGTATGTGCAAACACATCAAAGCACTGGGGAAGTTGCCTTGGAAATTTGACCATCTTGTATGCCAAAATATTTCAGCGAAGTGTCCTGGTGCCAGTCCTCTCAGTGATATTTCCTGCACAATCGGCAGTGCTGTATTGTTACATGCAAAGAGGTGTGACTACAACTGCATAAACAAAGTGATTTAATTCCTAAATGGCAGAGAACTGAGCAATTAGACTGCAGTGGCATGATCTATACACCAAAACTGCTTCATTAAGCTAAGTTTTTTTGGTCACTATTAGTGCCCCTTTAAAAAGCCTCTTGACTTAGCTCTGTTTGTAGCAATACTCTACGGTGCATATTAGGGACTGGCTACCTTTTAATTCAATATTTCAGCAAGTCTGACTAGGCTCCCGCTATGCTTTAACAGCAGTCTGAGATTTAGCTTTATCTCCACACACAGTGTCTATATTTTCCAACCCAGTATCAATACAAATACTTTCCTCGGTATACCGCCAGCCAAGAAGTGCTCCAGTCCATCCTGTCATATCTATTTTCCTATCCAGTCTGTCCATGTGTCTATCAGTGCAGTCTGGCTCTCCTATTCCTTGTGGGTGTATCAGCCATCAACAAAATCTCAGCAGCTTCCAAAGTCCAAATGCTCAGACTGTACAATTCTTAACACTCATATGGTTTCACATCAAAGGCTACAAATAATTTATTCAAAGCATTAGAACCACAGATTTCTAGGAGATGGAGCAACATCTAAAAAATAATTAGTCAACAGAGATTCTATCCTTTTAAAATCATATAATAAACTTGGCTTTTTGTTAACCTGTTTTTGGTAAATCATTTAATTCATCCTCTCCTGCCTGGTAACAAAACACATATTGCAAACCTCTCAAGTCTTCTTAATTAGAATGAATAGTCCCTATTTTGATCTCAGTTATCCTGTCCTTCTTTTCAATTGGTTGGTTTATCTGAG